GCAAGAGATGGCTCAAAGAGGTTATAAATGCTAAAAGTAAAAAGTAAATCACTAGCAAAGCCTAACTTTATTTGATTTCTATGTGCCACTGGGAAGATAATGTTCAGGTAAAGAATACATCTACACAGGAAGGCCCTGACTCTTAGTCAGCAGCTGATAATGTTCTGGGGTTTAGAAAAGAAGAGAAACACTTCTGTTGGGTGATAGTGTTATCAGAGAAATGTCCCCACTGGAGATGTGATGCCCTCCTACCAGCCTTTCAGTGCTTACAATAAATGGCTATTACGTGGTTTGTCTAATCCCAATATGAGCCGCTACTTATTCCTGCTGGCAAATGAACTGTTAGTACTAGGAAGATTTACGGGCTAGTTTTTCTCCCTCGAGGCCCTAAGACTATCTGTGCCTTATACAGAGATCCCTGAAACTTGCAACCCAGGAGCCCATTCTGCAGAGGGGCTGGAAAGGAATTCCACAGCTCCTAAGCTCTAACAGGTCACACATGATCACGGCATCTTTCTTATCCATGTGTGGTATTGATGCTGACATTAACAACAGCCATTCTGAGAAACTGAACTTCCCTTGAAGAGTGGACAGTGGCCTCCAGGACAAGATGACTCTCCAGACCCAGGGAAGCCAGAGCTTGCTTGTCAAGTCAGCCACAGACAGAAACCAGAGACAGAGGTAGCAGAGGGCTCAGCGGAAGTAGTTACAGACAAGCACCAAATGAAAAAACTCTACAACCTGAATGAAAGCATCAGTAACAGGAGTTCCCCCCTTTTCATACAGTAGGGTATGAATAAGGTGGAGTACAAACCAGGAAATGAAAGGTAACTTAGAAGAATCAAATACATATCCTGGCGAACAGATTTTTCAAGGTGATGGGGAAGGGAGAGGGTCTGTGCATACACTTCAGTGTGCTCTGGATACCCAAATGCCTCGACGGTTCTAGTGAAGAGCCTTGTCATGATGATGAAACTGAAACAACCTTTCTGGATGGTACCTTCGGAAACACAAAGAAGTCAAAAGGAGCAGCCACTAACACAAACAGGTAAAAATAACAAAAAGATGAAGTCTACAGGTGTTTAGGGCAAGAACATCGCTGCAATGCTGCAGAAATAAAGGCGACAGCGCTTAATCCCCAAAGGTCCCCGACTGCCCCGCTTTGGTCAATGGGTGAGGGAGTACCTGCACCATGCTTTTTGCTATTTATTCATTTTAATAACGTTCCTTGCATTTTGTCTTTTCCCAACAGAAAAGTGGGTTGTTGCCCCCTCAGGACTGACACACAATCATACTCAGAGGTTGCTCAAAGATGAGCCCTGAGAGCACTCAAGGTAAGTCTGTTTACTAGGTGGGAGCTGTCTGTCCAAGTTAAGAATGAGCCCAAATATTTACAAGTAAATGGCCAGGAATTTCTTCAGCTGAATAGAGTGAATAAATAAAATGGAGTCACTATGGTCAAGCTGCTAAATTATTCAATAAAGTACGCTGAGGCATGAGGAAATTATTCTATTCTTGTCTTAACTAGCCTGGGAACTTAACCGTCTGGACTTTCCAGTCCTCTGTCAGTGCCCGAATGCATCTTGGGTAATTGTGCTTCAATGCCTGGACATACGTCAAACCCTCAGATGACCATCTGAATGACCTCAAAAAGAAACTGCTCCACTGTCCAGACCACAGGACATCTGAAGATTACCATCTTGGACCAATGCAGGGGCTAAGAATGCAGGATTGATTCTTTTCAAGAATGTGCTTTTTAAGAGCCTCGGGTTTTCTTTCTCTGTTTGAATAGTCTGGGTATTGCCTAGTTGTGTTTCTGGTTTGCAAACCCTAAGACCCTTGAATAATCTTTGTTATCTACTTCTAGACAAAGCCTCCTGACTATTTCTGAGTGCATTAGACAGTAATAAAGTTATCCTGAGACAGTTATAGTCTACGAAGGCAAGTCAGTCTTTTAAAAGGAGTAAGTTTCATAATAATAATGCCATTTCTTGTTCTAACAATTATACAACTAATAGTATCAAGGGACACAGCAATGTGAGAGCCCTTTGACAGCAAAAACCAGTCTGCACAACAATCAGGGCCTTAATAAGCCTTAAAACTACAGGGGCTTCTGTGTTAATGTATTTCGTGCACTGTCTGCTGCCTCAAGAACAGCAGGTGCTGCCGTCCAATACTCTACAGACACAGTGTCAGCCAGAGACAAACACACCGAACACCAGGGAGAGGACCACTCTTGTTGTAGTGGGAGAAGAGCAGCAGGTGAAGATGAAGACTGAAGATCAGGAATCCTTCCTCTAGGCAAGACTGGGAAGATAAGTAGAAAAACAAAAAGAAATGGCCTTTACTAATAGACTCCCTAAGTCAGAAAGAGGTCACTGCAGGGGATAAGAATCAGTAAGTACTGGGTGTACGACAACCAGCCTGGTAGGCTGAGCTGATCCCTGGGCCTGGGGTCATATGCAGCCTCTGTACCTTTCAGTCCTGAGCGGATGATAGTAGGAGACAAGTCATCATAGTTGTTCATTAAGCTGATGTCCCCCGAGGTGAAGCTGACAGTGAGCAGCGGCTTGATATTCTGCACTGGGATGGGATATGCTGCTGGACCATCTGTGAAAACAAAAGTGCTGAGTGAAAAAGAGACAACGAGCACATGACCCAAATCCAGGGCAACAACGCTGCAATCTTGAAGGGTCTTGAAAAGTGCCCGACAATGCAGATCAGGCTCTGGACTGGGATGCTACTAAATAAAGCACCATTCCACACCACTCCAGCCTACACAGCGCACAGAGGGTGCTCACCAGAGAACCCTGAGAGGTGTGGTGGGAAAAATATGTGGGAAAAGTTTATTAACTTGGGTGCTAATGTGTTATGTGTTTCTAATGATGTATAAAAGTGAATTATTTGAATGTCATATAACATACAGGATGGGAAAAAAGTTGGTTTACAGTTGTTCGTATGGAAAATAATACAATAATAAATAATACAAGAATAAACTCTGGTTTTGCATACTCACTACTATTGTCCCATAATGTATAAGAATGATGGGAAGAGAAAGGGAAATGTTTTCTTAATCCTGGTCCAACATGCAGAGGAAAGTTGTTATCAACACTAAATGCTCTTTCATTGCATGTTATGGGAACTGAGCAGCCACAGCAGCCACTATAGGGGTTCTTAGTTTTTAACTTAAGAGACCCCAAATCTGGAAAGGCGGCTAAGGTTGGATGTGGTTCAAAGAATTCTGCTATATTCACAGTGCAGTCAGCACAAAAGAAACACCTGCTTTGTAAAGTCAGGCAGTACTCACTAGTTAAGAAAGGAACCATGATGGACCACATTCTGGATTCGTTCATGTGTTGTTTCAAAAAGTCAGTCAGTCCCGCCCATGGGCTAGGGTGAATCAGGGCTCTCTCAGAGGCTCCCTTATGCGTCACACCTACTCCGAGCTCACCTCTGGCAGACATCCGGGTGGGCCTTCCTGACATCCGCCTGCTCACCCCGACTCAGCCCTGCCTGCAGACAATCCCAAGTTACCGCTCTCCTTTGCTTCACCTGAACATGCTGAGGTACCTACCTCTGCACTCAAACTCCCTTGGCCACCAGGAAAACGCTATTCTATCTGAAAGGCAAACTCCACCATCTCCAAATCACCTCACTGCTTCTGAGAAAGGCAACTGGTTAGAGTAGCACCAGGTACTGAATTCTGTTCTTATACTTAATCTACACTTGCTTCAAAACCTTGGTCTCTGGATCTTGTTTCTTACAATAATAAGTGGGGATCAGTAAATCTGAATTCACTCTGGTAAAGTTCTGTTTTAAAACCATGCTGAGTCCAATGTTTTAAGACACTGATTTTATTACTATGAGGCTGAAGAAATGATCAACAATTCACTCAAGGCTGGGTCGTACTAACAAAAGGCATAGTTACTTCCCAAATGGATCTGTGGGTGATAAGAACACACTCCCTAAAGACCCACCTATTCTGAAATACTACCGCTGATCTTATATTTTTTTTCATGTGTAAACATCTTCTCCTAAAATAAAGACACACACACAAATAAATGTGTACGTATATTCTCTGGGAAGCAGAACATATCACTTCTGGGACAGGAAGGAGAAGACAAAGCGGGAGCATTCCAGGTCCCAATGGGGCACGTGCTGATGAGAGGTGTATTTTAAAGATTATCACTAGACCAGCCCTTCATGGGACAAACACACCTCACAGTCACAGGAAAGGGCAGAAATTGTCCAGCGTGTGCCCTTAGACCATTAGAGCACTCAGCACACAGTGTGACCACCTTAACCAGGCAGCCATCCGTTCTACTATTTCATACTATGATTTTGTCTTGTAATAAAAAGAGGTGGGTTCGGGAGACAGGACATTGGGGAAGAGCCAGGGTCCTGGGCAGGCCAGCGCTGAGTGCTGACACTGGCTGGTGACAGTTGCACCAACGTCAAAGGCTGTGCCTTTCGCTGGGTCTCTCACATATTTCAGGGTAAGACATTGTGCGGGGTGGAGGCTGGAGTTAAAAATCACCCCCACCAAGTCTGAGACAATCGTTCATTACTGGTCCAAATGGGTAAAAACTCAGATACCAACTAATCTGGTTTAGTATCACTGTGAGGCTTATGGGGGTTAGGGGTGGACGGGAGGGGGTGGAGAGGCAGGTTTTTCTAAACTGAGAGAGGAAAGAGTTTCTCCCCCAAATAAAGACAGGGACACAGATACCTATCTGCCCAACATGCTGGCCTTCATTACGGGCAGAACTAATAATCCTTTTCTCACACAATTAAAGCTATGGGCTTTAACATTAGGGGAGGAACACCACATATTAGTTATTGTCAGCATACTTCATCTTCAGCTCTCTTTATTCTCACTACTCCCCAGGACACAGAAAGGGTCATACATTTTATATGTAGGAAAACCTAAGCCAATGGCACTTCATCAGCGTGCCCAGTGATAGCGAGAAAGGGGATGGCAGAGAGTCAAATCAGGAACAGAGATGAGGCCGACTGGCCTCACTTCAGCCCGAGGACCCTTTCCAGTAAGTTAGAGTGCTGTGCCCGCGGCAGACTGTTACCCTTCCTCCTCTAAATGGGTTCGTTCCCCTCCAGACACTCGTCCCTGTGGAGCAGCCAGCTACCTTGGGGCGGGGAGTAGTCGTCGGAGTCTGTGTCGCTCTCACTGCTGTCCTCCACCAGGAAGGCAGGGTAGTTCCAGGACATGCTAAGGATGCCGTCGGACTCGTGCAGGAGGACGTGGGCCAGCATCCTGCCGTGGCAGTCCATGACGATCACCTGCCCGTCGGCCGTGCCAAACAGCACCTGGAAATGAGGCCAGGACTACTGATGGGGGGGAGGAAGGGCCCCCGTTTCAGCAAACCTCATCACCTCAACTTGTTTAGGACAAAATGTGTTTAGAACTGAAAACATGGACCAGTTAAGTAACTTAGGGGATACACAAAGCATTAAGTAGTGAAAATTTAGCTGGTTGTTACTGTAATAATTCTAGTACTCTAATACTGAAATGTGGCCAGCAGCACAATCAATACAGTCCTTATGTTGTATGGACATTATCAAATGATACGAGCAAATCCTGGTTTCACATTTTATGGGTTGTTTTGTTTTCCTGGGTTGGAGGTGAGGGGTTAAGAGGATAATATTCACTTATTTTTCTGGAAAATAAAGCAGCAGCAGAGGTTCGTTGTAAAGAATTTCTCAAATTAAGGAGACAAAACTTAGGTGTGTGTTTGACCTGAGAAAATACATTTTGTTATGTAAGCATGTTATCTAACCATATTTGGAAAAGATTCTTCTGAAATAGTTTGTCTAATGTTTTATCTCACTGTGAATAAGAATGGTATTAATGTATTAATTAATAATTAATGTTATAATGTATTATAACATTATAATGGTATTAATACCTTCATTGAGTGCTGACTTTGTGCTAAGTGCTATACCAAAAGCTTTACCTTGTAATCTGTCAAAACAATCCTGTGAGTTAAGTACCAGCACTGTGGAATGTGCTGAGGCTGGCCCTAGGGAACACCCCTCAGGTCCCCAGGTCTGGAAGCACACACTCAGGGCTGTGCTGGGGGATGGGACTGGCACAGGGCAGAGCTAGAGCACATGCAGGGAGAGGAAGGCGGGTGGGGGGTGAGCAGCATAAGAGCCTCTCACAGAGCTTGGCAGCTCCCTGACAGTGGTGCCATCCAGCTGGATGTCATGAGGGGAACCTGGGGCCTGGGATGTAGGCCCTCCCAGGGAACATGCTGGTATCTTCTGCTCTGTGTGGTGGGCCCTGGTGGTCTCTGCATTTGCTGCCATTAAAACTTTCTATCCTTCCTGGCCGGCCGTGGCTCAGTGGTTGAGCATTGACCTAGGATCCAGGAGATGGTTGAGCATTGACCTAGGATCCAGTCAGGGCACATACCCGGGTTGTGGGCTCGATCCCCAGTCAGGGGTGTGCAGGAGGCAGCCAATCAATAACTTTCTCATTGTTGGTTTCTATCTCTCTCTCCTCCTCTCTCTGAAATCAATAAAGATATATTTAAAAACAAAAAATCATCTTTCTATCTTTTGCATCTACTGAGATTTATCTACCCCTGGGCAACTCATTGTGACAACCAAGCAAACTATTTCCATTTTACAGACGCAGAAACAACCTGAGAGGGATCAAGTTGGTAAAGGTGTTAAGTGGTCAAGCCAGGACTATCTGACTAGAAAGGCCAGGATTTAATAAGGTTTTTTACATCCTTGCCTCTTTTAGCTTTTAAGAGAGTATGACACTAAGCTTGGGGGAAAAGACTATTCACAGCTGTACCCGTCACCTAAAAGAGTTTTGGGTACATGGTGGACACTCGATAATTATTTTGGCTGAACCCCACTGTAAGGCAAACATCATGGGTGGCAGAGGGTTTTCTTCACCTCCTTTCCACATCCACACCCATTTGTCCAAGTATGTTCTGAAGAGCAGCTCTGTACCTTGGTGCTGTCTGAAGGGGCCTTTTATCAGTTATGACTTTTGTTTTTAGTGATGATAGCTCATTAGCAAACAGTTCCTCTCCACAAGGACGCAGGAAGGTCTCTTACTCCTCCCTGTGGGTACCCACCATCTTCTATTGGGGCAATCATCACTACTCTCAGTCTTTAATGTGAGATTATTTGATTTCTGATTCCCACATTAGACTGTAAGCTTCTGAGGACTGGACCATGCCTGCTCTGCTCACCACTATCTCCCCAGGGCCTGTCATTTGTGAAGGGACAGAGGAAATGCCTTAGCACAGAAGCGTCTTTTAAGTAACACACTTTTTTTTCATTTTAGAGAAACAGATCCCAGACAATAGGACAGACACCTAATTCCCGAATAAAGGACGTTGACTTAATGAGTTACCAGTGCTCAATACTACATTAAGGCAAAAAGGAACAAAAAACTACCCTCCCCCACTCTCCCAATTCCCTACCAATTAACCAGTTCCAACCACAGCTCTCTTGGGAAGATAATACACTTTAACATTTGAGAGAAGGAAAAACCAGAACATCAGTCTAGCTGTCAAGCAATGGAGGGAGTTGCTGTTTTTGGAGCAGATAGCTGAGGAACACTGATGCAACATGAAATCAGGTTTTAAAAAACCTCCTCTATTACAAGTTCTTTTCATGCTTAATCACTCCAGTGAGATAAAACTTATGTGAGCCATGGACTTGAAGAGAACAGGACGGAGAGCTTAATAATGAGCACGCCCAAGGCAAGCGCTCGTCGCTGCGGCTTCCACCCCCTTCTTCTGGAGCGCTCTCTAGGGAGGCGCTGCTGGCCCCTCCTCCTGGGCTGTCTCCTCTTCCAGGCTTGGTTCTCTCTCTAGATCACAGTCATGTCCACAGCTTCAAGGATCCCACTCACAGTAGGTCCCTGTCCAGGCCTCTCCCTAAACTCTGGATTCACACATTCAACTGTCTAACCTGCCACCTGGGATATGTCAAAGGGCCTTCAGAGTCAACACGTTCCAGATGAAATGTGTGATCTCGTCCTTCCTCAACCAATACATACACAGGCAGGTCCTCTCCCAGAGAAGACCATGCCGTGGCTGGTGTTTTATCTCTAATGTCCAGGACAGTGTCTGCCAATATAACAAGTGCTCAGACATCATGTGTGAAAGGTTTAGGGACCCACCACTCAGAATTAATCTCACTCTAACCACAGACCCCACAGCACTCTGAACCTGGCTCTGTTTTGCATGTCTGTCCCATTAAATCATGAGCTTCTCAAGGACAGATCTGCACCTGAGTTACTCACATGTTTCCTGTCACGAGTGGATGCTCAGTGACTATTAGTAAATGAGTTTCTGCCCAAAGTTTGGCCTTTGAGCAGGTTTTCCTACAAATGAAGGGAGAACTTCTTTAAGCTATAAACCAATGCCTCCAACAACACTTCTAATTATGAATTGATGATGAAATGATTTAAATTTGTCTATTTTTCCTGCAGTTTTTTCTGCTAGACTGCAGGCTTCACACATGGGCTGAGGACAAATGCCCTCTATAATGTGGACACAAGAACCAACAAACTGGTAGAAACCTGAGGGTCCTCAGGCCATATCACTTCAAGGGCTATCTCTTATTGCAGGGCAGTTTTTAATATCAATGAAATTTTAAAATAATTATAGTACTCACATAAAATCTCAATTTTAATGTATTCCATTCTAAACTATTTTTAGATGTAATTATTTTAAAGTATAAATCAATTACCAGTAATTTAAAGTGAACCAAGCCATAAACGAAAGGGGGTAGGAAGAGGGTATACAATCATCCAAAAGATTTATGTTCTGGAAGCAGTGACGCTATGTCATCAGTGCTCTTATCTTTGGACACTGGTACTCATCTGAATTCTTGAATAAAGGCCATATTTAGAAAATTTCTGCTGCTTCTATAAATGTTCACCTCTCTTGCAGCGGAGCTGAACTAGCAGTACTGAAACTGTTTCCAAAAGAATTTACGTTTTCCCCATTTATTTGTTTTTGTGATTTAAAGCTGGGGGAACGGATAACAAAGTGATTACAAATTCCTACTCTGTGACTTCAGCCCCACTGGTGGCAAATGTCTACATGAGCCACTGTGGATAGGGGAATGAAGGGACAAGCTGTGATGTCCCTCTACTCTTTAGAAGGAAACTTCTGTTCTGAGATGCCACTGAAGTAAAACATTTTCTTAAAAGATCTCCCTTTTGGGTTTCAGAATACTGGTCTTCAAATGTGCTTCAAGGCCAGATTTGTGTATTTTGCAACTAAAGAAAATAGTCACTGAAATCAAGACAGTTGTAAATGACAGAATTGCTCAGTTGATTAATAGATTACTCCCTTGTTTAGAGAAAAAGATAAATGTAATTTCACAGTTGACTATAACAATCATTTCTAAAACAGATGTTTTAAGATTTACTGTGATAAATACAGGAAAGATATCTCACCCATAATATCTGTAATAAAAAAATATGTATCTCTGGCTAAACGTATAATTTTGAAGCTGTTTCATCTATTCACTGTTGAAAAGACCACTTATAAACTAACCTATAAAGATGAGAGACTGTCCTATGTCTAAAGAATTTCAGAGAAGGAGATATTCCAGCTGCCTCAAATTTAATGTTAAATAATTCCCATTGCTAGAACATTCTTCCCCAAATCTTTCAGGCTCCATTTTTAAGTTTATTCACCTTTCTAAAACACCCACACAAGATTTCTGGAGGAGGAGGGGAATGTCCTGACTACAGGGATAATTAAAATTCACATTTAATTAGAATATCTCCAGAAGGATACACAAGTAACTGGGAACACCAATTACCCCAGGAGAACAGAAGTGGGTGGTTTGGGGATAGCGGAAAAAAGGGGCCTTTTCATCATATATCCTTCTGAACATTTAGAATTTTATACCATGTGAATGCACTACTAAAATATATATATTTAAGTATACTGTGAATAAGGTAGAAAGAAATGTTTCAGGAATATAGCTCTCTCAGGTCTTCGGAGCAGGGTGAAATGCCCAGGGGAGCCATGCACCATGCAGTCTGGGGGTGAATGTGCACCTTTAATTTGGGTGGGAGATGCTAAGTGATGCTGGAATCTCACAGCCTGTTTGGTGCAGACAGTCCAAGCCTGATGGGGGAACACCCTTTCCTTTGCAAAGGATTCAGGACTAGGAGTTGGCTGGCTGGGGAGTCTCGCTCTATTTTGACTCCTAACTACTTTCATCATTTTAAATTGGTCATCTACCTCCCTGACTGTTGGTCTCCTCTGTCAGCTAAAAAAATTATATTAGATGAGCTCTAAAATCCTTTCCTGTTT